ATTCTGTTATTGTTGGACTTGCGGTTGAGCTCTCAGAAGACGTAGTTTCGCTAGTAGACGTAATTTCGCTAGAAGTCGTCGAATCTGTTATTGTTGGACTTGCGGTTGAGCTCTCAGAAGACGTAATTTCGCTAGAAGTYGTCGATTCTGTTATTGTTGGACTTGCGGTTGAGCTCTCAGAAGACGTAGTTTCGCTAGTAGACGTAGCTTCGCTAGAAGACGTCGAATCTGTTATTGTTGGACTTGCGGTTGAGCTCTCAGACGACGTAATTTCGCTAGAACTCGTTGATTCTGTTATTGTTGGGCTTGCGCTTGTTGTTAAAATTTTATTTGTTGAACTAGTACTCAAAGGAGTTGTATTTTCATTTGATGTACTTGTAAAATTGACTTCTTGTGTAGTTGTTTCAGGCCAAGGTTCATCACATTCCAAGGCTGAACTGTTGTTACAAACTAATCCTGGAGGACATTCTTGAGGTAATCCTATAATCATAGTCGTTTCGCCAACTTCCACACATTGATAGAAATGAGTTTCATCGTAACATATGAATCCTCGATTGTGGCAATCTATAAATGCTTTCGCTTCCAACCGATAAACCTAAAACAATTCCATGAAAACTTAAGATTTGTGTATATGTACCGCTTTACACATGTACTATCTGCACATTTTTTTTTCATTTTTCATAACAAAGTATAAATAGTTTGTGTTTTCATTTATTCTTACTGCATATAGTCTTATTAGTTATTTTTGTGTATATGGATTCTGTTTTTGTTGTGTTAGTTAATTAATTATAATTATTGTTATAGTTAATTTTTATATTTTCCGGTTAAACTTCCTAAAATATTTTGAAAATTTCTTTTCACCTATAGTGATAGAATTTGATATTATATTACATCTAGTGTTTTTTTTACTGGTGACATCTCATTATTTGTTTCCTAAGAAGTTTGTGGAAGTTTAAAAAAATTCCCTGTCGACTATCTTTTATTTTTATGTATACATCTACATTTTTATTTCAATCTGTTTTTTTGTTAAAAAATATTTTGTTACCCTTACCAAATTGATAAATATTATAGCCCATAGCACTTTCATTTTTTCACTTCATAGCAGTTACGCTACCACTGAATTAATGAAACAACGTCGTGATATTTGATATGTTTATTCGATTTTACTCGTATTAACTATTTCTTTTTTTAGTAGAAATTTTCTATTGTTGTCCGTAAGTCTTTATACTTATATTTAAATACGGTATCTCTTATCTTAGTTTTCCAAATCTTTCTTTCAATAGAAATACTTATTACTACTGATTTCAGTTTCTTTATATCGAACTTCTTTGTTCTAGAAGATTTAGACCCGTATTTACTAGAAAATTATTTCAAGTGCATTTTCGTTTTGTAACAAATGACGCAAAGTCTGCAACTGACTTACTAAGAATTGTTAGATATATGGTGTTTGATGATGAGTATAGAAAATGAATTATGAGGGGATTAGGGTTTCATGATTACGAAGAAACGAAGACTTGGTAAATATTTTTCTTGAAACATTTCCCTTGAAAAACCAGCCATTCAGAAAAACATTTATTTTACAGAAAGTAAAAAGTACCTCACACTTGGTATTTTAATTTTTAGTACCCACTCCTCAACCTCTTAAAAGGGTTATTTTGTTAAAAAAACTACAAAGTGCGGTTTTGTGTTTTTATTAATAAATTTCCAGTTTTCTATTAAACGTACTTACATAGTCTCTTACATAAATCTTAATATAATGTAAACAACAAATAATACTAAGCTAATCAACCCGACGATTCAATTCTAATGCTCCCAAAGTCCTTCTTCATGAAATCGCCAGAATAAAACGAATTAAAGTCCAACCTGAAAAGCGATACATTAACTAAAACCTTCATCGAAGCATTCGTTAAATAATCTCACCCAAATAGGGAATTAAATCATCGATAGGAATAAAGGAAGGGAAGATTAAATTTTTCTTAAACTATTTCAAGAGGGAATGGTGAGTTTAATCAAATGATACAAACATAGTCACCTGTATAATAAGTTAAAGAGCCTGTCGTGTTCACTACTATCCTTGTTCAAGTTATTAATCTGATCCAGCAGGTTTACTAAAGCGACTGAAAACTGCACGTCGAAGAGGGAAATTCTTTCCTTGAAGCTGGGCGCTGTGGAGGCGTGACTTGAACTGTCTTGGAAAACTTTCTCGTTCTAAAGTGAACATAAAAATAATGTCAATTTTGAATTAACATAAAACAGTAGACAAAAATCCACATGCAGCATTCGACAGACATTTTGAAAAATAATTTTAATAAAAACTAATTATTTATTGAAAGGGCCACATGCCGAGAAGCAAATACCTGATGAAATGATTCATACATAGAACTTGGTAATGAACCAAGTTCAGCTTCCACAAAGTATTTCTGCGTCCTCTATAAAAATCAAGTAAAAATTCAACTTTCTCGGAGTTTAATGAGTGATTCAGACGAGAATAATTGATGTTTCTTAAAAACAAACCTGCATAAATTGGCAAAAATCCACGCAAATTGACAAAAGCTTCGTAACTGTGCGAAGAATCGGCGGTATTGTGAGCATACAGTCCTTCAAACAGCTATCCAGAAAATCGCGATGGCAAAATAATATTTCATCAACATTGTTCACCTTAAAAAATTCTGTAATTAGTTGTTTATTTTTTTTTTAATTAATACCTTGGAAATTTTCTGTAAGAACAAACACCAGTGAGGTTCAATTACTTCAACCATCATGTGATATTCCAAATTTTGAACACAATGTAACATCCTCTGTCGCAGAGCAAAGGCGGCTCTGTAATGCTGTGCATCGTCAAAGTGGAACTTTTTTGCAACTTTATTACACTTCCACACTTGACAGATCATTCTTTCCACATACTTGCAATAGAATAAATGTCGAAAAATCATCTGATAACACGCCAGAGATTTTCTGTTTAAAATTAAAGACAAGGGCCAATGCACTTCATAACTGAACGAGAAAGAATCAATAACGAGAAGTTTTTGGCGCTCGTAAGTGGTCCGAAAATCTGGAAAACAAGGCCATAATTAAGTTATTTGAGAAGATATCAACGTCGTTTCAAAACTCAATGTAATATCTACAAAATGGCCGAATTTTTTTTTTTTAATCTAGCACTTATCAAATTATGACTACTTAAATAAACACCTTTTCGGACTAAAACAGTTATAAAGACGCCAAGGCTTCAAAATGAAAAAACTCTTCGGCCAATTTGTAGATTTTTATTTGGTATTTTTGTTTTAATAAAATAAGCTTGATATCGCGACCTACTAAAAATTATTAGATTTGTCACGTCTCACTTTCTTGTTAGTCTTGTTCATCTTACATAACATAAAAACAGTATTGACTTTTGTCATTTAGGGGTTTCAAGTAATTATCATTGGTAGTATAATAGTAGTGGTAACTTGTTTGTCTAATATTTTCTCGGTACTTAAAAAGCAACTTATTTGTGGCTAATTTTTTATTACCCTGAAATGATATCTTAGATTTCATTGTGTTTTTAGTTTCCCTTTTTGAAAAATCACTTCTAGAAAGCATTTCTAGCATAAAACACAAATTCATGTGCTTTATTTGGTCGACAGTATGTCCCCGGATTGATTTTACGATAGAAAAATAATAATTTTTTATTTTACACCAAAACTGCAAAGGAAAAACATTTTTTGCTTCACCTAAAACAAGCAAATCTGGCATTAAAACTTTATTATTGGGATTCAGTAAAAAGTTGATTTTCTCTTGATTTTGGACTAATAATATTATAATAATTTTTCTCTGCTTTTTAAGGCCTATCACATTGGCGGTTATTTATTTATTTGACAACTATGTCACTTTGACAATTAATTCATCAGTTGAATAATGATAGTTCTTGTTCTTTATATTAAACCTGTTTCTTTGAGTTCTTATGTTTTTGAGAAACATTTTTGTTATTTAACTTAACGCAGGGAAAAATTATTACAATTCCAAAATCAGAAGAAAAATGAACTTTTCTTTTCACTAAGTCAGAATAATCAAGTTTTAATTACAGTTTTGCTCGTTTCAGGTAAAGCAAAAAATGTTTTTCCTTTGCAGTTTTGGCGTAAAACGAAAGATAAAAAGATTTTTCCTCTTGTAAACCCAATTCGGAGACATACTGTATGTCAGTTTAACAATTAATTCATCAATTGAGTAGATAGTTTGTGTTAAAAATGACTTTGTTTTTTATCTGTTTATATCCGGGGACATACTGTATAACGATTTAGAGCTGTTGTGTTTTGCATAAATTTTAACGAATAAATTGATATTAATTATGGCATTTAAAAAAATTCGCACGACCCCATTTTGTCAAAAAATGACACCTACATTGTTAATTTTTATGAATTTTTAAAATAGCAAATTATATGATATGACAAAAGTGAATGTTTTAGTGTTATTTGTTATACCTGTAGTGTTTTTTTTTTATAAAAATTTACATTTTTTTGGAAAGTATAGTTATTGTTATTTAATAGTAATTGTCTTTAATCCGACTATATGGTAATTCGAACTTCATGTAATCCAAGACGAAAAATAAATCCATCGAATCTTTAGTTCCAATAAATAGTATTCGATAATCCGAACACTGAAAAAGTTGTTATTTTTTATGTTAACATGCTCAATCTATATATTTTATTACATATGTTTTAATGAAAATTTGTATTTCAGTTACTTTAATTAAGAAAAAAATCAGTTTCGTAAATCGAAAAATTGACAATCTGGAGAACCCCTTGAATTAGTTCCTATTTATCGAGATTTGCCTGTATTTTTATTACGTTTTTACTTGTTCATTAAATTTAAAACAAAACTGTTGAAAATGAGAAAAATTTGCTTGCCAATTCGAAAATAAAATTCAATCACCTTGTTCCATATTTGTCTGAATTGTGAGTATTTTCAACATTTGAAATTGCAAGTCATAGGGTAACAACTCGATCCTTAGATCGTCCTTGTAGGGATCACTCACAGCGCTTGATAATCTCAAAGCCAAGTCCATTAAAGATTCGATACGCCCTTGGATCACATCTCCAACATCTTTGCTTAATTCTTTTTCACATAAAGTTAAAAATGTTACGATAAAATCGCCCTGGTCTAACAGAAAATAGTGCTTAACGGATTTAAGTCTCCCCAAAAGATCCTTCTCTTTCACAACTAGATCTAGTAATGTTTGGCTAGCAAATTTGTACGCATTTTCGATTGCTTCAATGTAATGCTTCTCCTCGATTTTGTACAGTATTGGGCGGATTTTATTCTTTACTGGTTTACCTGAAAACAGGCTTGAAATTTGGTATTATTTCAACTGGCTCAAATTACCACACTGTCTAATAACATTCAAGTATTTCCCAGCTTTTAGAATTATGTCGGAGACGGGCTCTAAAAATTTTGGGATTTTCTCCCGTTCTATTGAGTATTTTTTATCCCAGTAGTCCGCTGAGTAATCCACAGGCATGTCCTCCTTCTGGATAACCTCATTATCCTTTACCAGAAACTGAAAATAGAAGGAAAAAGATGTTTTAACATTAACTTTTCTGATTGAAAGCCGATTCATGCAATTTCTTTTAATTAGGAAAAGAAAGAAGAAGTTTATTTTTTATTTTGTTATTTGTTCGAAAATACTCGCCCCAGTGCGATTTTTTTTATTTTTAAATTAACACTACTTCCTAAATGGTGATTTTTAAAGACTGTAATTCATCTAAAAATTGGCGTATCTAGATTAAAAAAAAACATTTGGAAGCTTTAAGTTCTTAGTTTTGAGAAATTTTTTTTTCCTTTTGTAAACTCAATCCGAGGACATACTGTATGTGAATTGATGTAAATCTTGATTTTTAATAGATCAATAGGGGTTACAGTATATAGATTTAAATTTTAAGGGAATTTAGATTTAGAAATTTAATTTAGTATGGACAAAATTTGTGCCAGCAGTTGCGGTTATACAAATTAGACAAGTTAATTATTTTTAGTTCAGTTAAGTGGAAATTGTTTAAATTTAAATTAAAACGTATTAGGTGAAATTTTAAGTTTAAAAAAAAATATAAAAATTTCGATGTTATGAGAGTTTAAATTTTGCACTTTGACTCGATTTATTTTTATTGGAAAAATAATTTTCCAAGTTTTTTGCTACAGGCTATTAAACGAGGAAACAAGGGGGCTGTATCCTAAATTGCAACTTTGTTCAATGTTATTTGTGGCTTTTATTGGCAAAAATTTCGTACCTTTACTACATAATTGTAAAAAAACATATACAAGATCATCAGTATCATTAAATAGACATAAAAAAATGTCAAATGTCAAAAAATTAAAGTCAAATTTTTTTTATGTTCCTGGTATCTTATCTTACTTGAATTTTCTCTGGGGCGCGAGTTCTGGCGCACCCTGTATATGTGTTTATTGGTTTTAAAATTTAATATAAAATGGATTTGATAGTAATTTTATTATTTTTGTAAAATGATTTAACTGTAAAATATTGCCCGTCGTTTTCATTATAAGTGAAATAAGTCGTAACAAAGTAGGCTTATTAGAAAATGAGTCTGGAATGATCAAATTACAGCTTGGTATAAGCATTTTATTTACATTAAAGGGATAGTTGTGAGATTCAATTTCATTTGATAGTAAAATGTTATTTGTTTTTTTGTCTTATTAAATTAAAAGAAGTATATTTAATTTTATTAATTTAGTTTTAAAAATAGTCATGTATTATACAAGACGATAAAATTGATTTTTATCTTCGAGAACAATATCAGTTGCTAACGATCTTTGACATTAGATTTCATTGTTGAATTTTACTTTAACATTTATAAACAAACTGACTACAAAATTTGTGATTATTGAATAAAATTTTATATTGTACACGACGATAAAATTTTCATTATCTTTTCGAGCATAAATTGCTCTCAAAGATAAAATTCAATTTTATCGTCTTGTATAATAAATAACTATTAATTATAGTATATTGTACTGTGAATGATATTTTTCTTTATTTTAAAAGCAAAATTTATTATTAGTACCTTTAATATCAGGGTTTATTAAATTATAATTAAAGGCTTAGTTATCTCGAATTCAAAAGGGTTACAATCATATTTATTTTACTATGGAAATAGTATATTAAAGAACAAGTTTTATAAGGGTTGATTTGGCGCACGAATCCCAAGTTAGAAAACGAGCCGTAGGCGAGTTTTCTATGGGATGAGTGCGCCAATGCCATTATAAAACGAGTATTTTATGCTATTTTTTCTGATTTGCGCACCCTTTTTTCTTCTTTTAATTAAAAAAATATATTTTTTTGTCGCCTAGAGAATTTTGTGTTAGTTGGTATCGGTTGGTAACACTCGGCGCCCACCTGTTTTTTGAATCATTTCTGCCGTTTGTCATTAAAAATAAAATTTACAAATCATTAGTTATTAGTGTTACAACATAATAATAATAAATAAAATATGAGAAACAGAATTTAGTTTGCACTCCGCCCGAAATTCGCGAAATTACCGAAGCAACAACGCAAAATTTGTTACCTAATAAGTCAAAAGCGGCATCCAAAAACTAAATAACCCTAAATTCTTTAAAGCACAGTGTGCTTTTATAGATAGCTATAAACGACTCCTACTGGAGACGTTAATAAACTTATTATAAACGCAAATTAGAAAAAAGTATTTAAAACGTTATTTTAGCAGTGAAACGTTATTCGTTTTTGAATATATCTGTTTTTTTAAGAAACGAATTTAATTTGCTTGCTTTATAATATTATAATAATTTTATATTTTATGACTAAAGGATAGGGATAAGGGATAAAATGTGTAAAAACATTCAAGAAACAATACTGCTAATTTGTGAAAAAAATTCCAAAAAAATGTTTTAGATTTTTTTAAATTTATAAAAAAAATCAAGATACAATACTGATTAATTTTTGAAAAAAAATCAAAAATATTTTTTTGGATTGTTTTTCTAAATTTAAATAATGCAAAATTGTTTAAAAAAATGTTTTTTCTCATTTTGATAAAAAGTAAAAAATGTTCAGCAACAATATGTACAACTAATTCTTTTGTAAAACTCTGATCAATAAAAAAGCATATTAAAGGTGAACAAACATGCATTGACAAATAAAAAAATACCCAACGTCCGTGGACCAAAAACAAAAACAAGAAAATTTAGAATTCATTTTTCTCACGATATTACTTAAGATTGCGTGGTAACCGTACCACGGAAAATATTTTTACCAAAAAATCTCAAAACTAGAAACTTAAAGCTTCAAAATGTTTTTTTTTTTAATCTAAATACGACCATTTTTCAGAAATAAAAAAAAAAATTCCTTTAATTTTTTGGAGTAGTGTATTTACCTCACTGATTGGATCCGAAATAATTCCTCGATATATCCACATTCCCAACATTTTCATATATGGAACACAGGCAGCTTCCATTAGACTAACACAACGTTGTTGGGTTCTTTCATCGCCAATTGATCCAATTATATGATCATGAAGCAAACTTAAAACTTTTCCGCCTTTAGCATCAGACTGTAATTTACAAATTAGATAAACCAAAATATATTGCCTTATTTAGCTAACCTTGCTGATGGTAGCTGCAATATTAGCTGTAATACCAAAAGGCTGTAAACGCTTTTGTATATAGAACCATAGTTTTTGCAAATTTAAATTATCAGCTTCAAATTCATCCTGAAGTTGGGTAACATAAATCTAAAAAACAACTTTATCAAATCATTATTTGTTTCCAATCAACTTACTAAATGTTCTTTTAAAATCGCGCTCATTTCTTCGGCTAACGCATTATTAACTTGCCCAAATTCAAACCTCATTTTTTCTTCAGTAAACCTCTGAATTAGAGAATAATGACTGGCGATAGGCAAGATTTGCTTGACTAATTCTTGCAGAGGGAGGGGCACATTATCATTTATTTTGAAAGTTCTGGGTGCATATGCATCGTTCAACTCCTCTGCTTCTATATAACAGCCCGGAATACCAATTAATACACTTAACAAATCCTCAATCAGGATGTTCTCTTGAGATATAGCCGGCACAGCTGGACTAATAGTACTAAAACTTTGTGTTGAAAAATCCCAGGATAAGGTGGGCCGTCTTTGGACCCAAGATGTAACAGAAGGCGTGCTAGCCCTCGGGAGACTAGCAGTCGTATTAAGAACACTACTCGAGTTTAGTTCTTTTTGTGAGCGCTTGAGAGCTTCCCGCCGCAATCGACTCCTAATTTGTGGTAAATCGTCTCGCGTCATTTCCGTTTTTTGCTCCGAATGTTTGTCCATTCTCCCCAGCAAGCTTTTAACGCCACTATCTTGCGATATCTGATACAAAAGCTGGACATATGGCCCTAAACAATCCACACTAGAAAGTCCAAACCAATTAAAATGAAACTCGTTTCATGAACCTCACTTTTTCTGCTTCAGGTCTTCAAACTTTAACAGGAATGGTTCAGAGTTTTTCAAATCTTCGGCAATACGTTGCACGTAACTCTGGATAGCCACTTGCGAGCCGGAACATTCCTTACCGGTGCCACTACTGATGCTTTTTTGTAACGCTTCCACAAGTTTTTCTGGTGGATTTTTCCCCCTGTAGAAATATAATCATGAGTTTTGGTTTTCAGACACGTGGACGTACCCTAAGGAGTTTAACAGTTCTGCAACCAAATGTTGAAGCTTAAATTCACTCATTTTGTCACAAAGCTTGACACTTCTTGCAATATCAAACCTAACCTTCAAAGTATTTGAATTCAAAAACAATGTGCGCGCGTCGGGGACTATTGTATTTTTGGTTGACTAACTTACAGGGGCAGTGATGCCAGATTAGGGAATTTTTCCCTAGTTCTAGGGAAAAAGGAATTTTTTACATTTTCAGTGAAAATCTAATTTTTTTCACACTGCTTCAAAAATTACAAAAATTTTTAATATGAATATTGTAACTTCGCCAAGTTAGCGCATTTGTACAAAATGGTTATAAATGATTTTCATCTAGCTAGCTGTGAATTTTCCATGTAAAATTAAAAATGCCGCTTTAAGAAAAAAGGGGTACCTACTTGTTTTAACTCAAAATTAAAAAATCGCCGTTTACTAAGCGTCCACTTCGAAAATAGACTTCAATTATAAACTTGTTTTCTTCCAAAGTATACATTATTATCAATTATCATTGGAATTTAGTTGAAACAATAAAAGTTTAATGAACAACAATTTATTATTAATTAATAAGTGACACTAATGACAGAACTATAGCTTTCAAAAAAGTAGAGTGGCACAAATAAAGTTACATGCAAAAAAAATCCAAAGCTGGGTAGATGAAAATCATTTATAACCACTCTGTATATGAGTTTAGCACATAGTATCGCGGAAACCAAAAATGTATTTTCTGTAGTTGTGTAAAGACAAAAAAAAAGAACAAGATAACTAAAAGCCGTTTGCGTTTTTCGCATTGCCAAGTTTACTAATTATTGCAGTTCATTTAATGTTTTAGACGAATATTTAAAATTAATGAAATCCCATAATTTATAAGTATAAATAAAAATTAAGTAGGTATCTATATATGTATACACGTGTATTTGAATTTGTTTTAATGGACTTGTACTTAATTTTTTTATTTCTTTAGAAAAATCACAGATTAATATTTATTTTAATTTATTGTTATATTATTTATTGATTTTTTTGTTGTTTGGAGTTAACACATTTTTATATTGTATTTATATTATTGTCGTATCAACAAGAAATTACTCCCTAGGTTTTTGGGATATTCGTGAATAGGTTGGCATAAATTTGGTTAGGTTGGTTTCTGGTGACAAACAAAAGATATCGTAACTAGTGTCAAAATTTAGGTTAAGTCACCTGTCAGCTTGTATGTAAAATTCAATTAATAGTTGACAGCAGGTTGACAGAAAACGTCAACCGTCTACAACAACCCTAAGCATTCAAAATTACTTCTGAAAATTATAGTTACCAACAACATATTGTACAAAACGTTATTTTCCTAAAAGTTCAAATCCTAGGTGATAATTTCGTGTTGACAAATCTGTATATTACCTCAACAAAATAGGCCTATGAAATAGTATCTTTTTATTTTTTTAAGTAGAATTCTAGGGAATTTAGAAGCTACAATGTAGGGACAAGCGCTTAATCTCATCTGGCATCACTGTACAGGGGCAATGCGTTGAGTCGTAGCGAAATGAACAGTTTTAAAAATATGAAACGTCGAAAAACAGTTAAAAAGCCCCCAAATTGACTTATTATTAAATTTAAATTATTAATTTCGTGTAAATTAAAATCAAATTTTGCGTTCAATATGTGCAGCCACGCCCACTTCCATGTTCGTGGCTATTCGTGTGATTTCGTATCAATGAAACAATCAACAAATCAAACAGCTGATCTAACCTAAAATGAATTAAATTAAGTAATTTTTAAAATTTGATGTAAGTGAGAAGTGTGTGAATAATGCCTAATGAAGCTCGGTACGCGTTATTATACAGTGATTATGAGAGTGCACCGATTTTGCGTTTGCCTTTTGAAAAATTTTCAATTATAACCGTGGGTTTGCCATTGTTTGCTTTCATATTTTGCATTATTTATTCGGTGATTTTTCATTTTGAAACAGCCACTTATACCCATTGTCAAGTGTTTAATGTTTTACCGTCCATTTCTGCCGCTATTGGAAATTTTTCACCACAACGACAAGTTTGGCAAATGGCTATAGTTTTACATGCTGTGCCAAGATTCTCGATTGCCTTTGTTTACCTCCAACACCATCAAAACGTTTTATACCAAAATGACCAATGGATGGGGGCCGTCGCATGTGTTCTTAATGTTGTTGAAAACATTTCGTTGATCATACTGTCTTTTTGGACCTCATCGCAACACTATCGTAAGTAAACTGGAATAATTGCAATAAATTTAATGAGACACTTGAATTTTTAGCTGTTCATGAAAAAGCCTTCATCACCTTTATATTGATGTCGGAGTTTTATATGATTTTAATTTATATTCTCCAAAGACGTTGCAAAAAACGCCACAAAGAAAGTCTGAAATGGAAGAAAAGACTACTCATTACAAACATATCATCTATTTTAGTAGCAACTTATTGCTTTCTGAGGCACAACTCGTATTGTGAGCCTTATGGTAAGTTGCAAGTTTCTTTTAATTTCACTTTAATTGTTTGTTTTAGTATATTCTGGTTTTGCCTTGGCAGAATATACAGTAGTATTAACAAATATGGCGTTCCACATGACTGCTTATTTAGATTTTAAAAATAAGGATTTGGTGGTTTATAAATACGGTGTTGCTTTAACGGAAAGATAATATTTAGTTGTATAGCTAGTTATACAATAATTATTTCGTGCTTTAGGAAATTATCACATGGCATATTTGTAATTATTGGCCATTCAACACACCAAAGATATATTTCTGGAGTTCTAAAACTAAATTTTATAAGAACATAAAAAGTATTTTGTACTAATCCAAAAATAACTATTTTGTGTAGCATGCAAGTGGCCCAAAACTGAACTGTTGTTTGCAAATACCCTGCGATCAAAAAATAAATAAATTAGAGTAGGCGGTGATTAAAGTCCTTCAGATGGCAATCCTGATTTTTGACATCAAATATCAGCGAAAACTTTGACAGGTTTGCGTTTTATTCATTTTAAATGAAATAATATGTTCACTTTAGAGCAGACATTTTTTTTTGTTGCAAGTTATTACAAAAATGGTGAATGGTCATTTTCACTTTCAGATTTCCATCCAATGTGTTGCCAACTGTAGAATTTAATTAACGCCTACTCTAATTTTTTTTCATCGCACGTTATTAAATTTATGTAGATAAATGTTCATTTAATGAGTTGTATATACAGAGGTGTCCCAGCGAGTTGAAAAAGTTCATTAGTGACCTTTCAATGGTGAAATTAAAAAAAAAATTGATAGATACTAATATAGTCCATCGCCTAAAATTATTTAAAACTATACAGCGTGTCTCAAAAATAAGTTACAATACAAACTTGTGTTTTTTTTAAATGAAACACCATATGTTTCTTAGCATTTTTGCATGTAGATTTTTATGTCAATGTTTTTAAGCTAAACTTCTATTGGTCGATTTTGCTTAGTTTTAAAAATAAGACGTTTTTTTTGAGGAAAACATGCAGTTTTTAAAAATTTATTACACAAAAACTAAGACAACTAGAAATGTTTTTTTACTAACGCAAAGAAGAAGGTACAAACTATAAGGTTGTAACATTTTTTAGTGTGTTGCA